GGTGACACTCATCATCAAATCTATCAAAGTGTATTTAACACATCTGAACCACTTGATAGTTGTATTGTGTTATTGTCTTTTCTAATTTTCTTTAAATCATCATGTTTATCAAAATGAACAGACAAAAGATAATATTTTCGTTTTTATCATCATGAATGAAAAGACTTTTAACATCTGAAACCTCTTTCATATCAAATACAATTTCATGTTCAGTAGTTTTGTATTGAATTTTGTGATTATCTAAACATACACTTCTGATTTATTCATTTTTGTAGTTAAAATGTTAGATTTTGTAATGAGTTTGTGTATTAATAACATCTAATACTTTCTTAAACAATACAAATTAATTCTATCATTATGAAATAAAGCTTATCCATGTTGGTATAATATTGTTTTTAACTATGAAACACAGATATTGTTTATTATCAATTATTACAGAATATATTCAATGAAATAAATTAACCACAATTGAATTTAGTTTAAAATGAATGAATTGATTAACGTCTCATTGTTTATTTTATTTCATAAAACATAAACAAATCACAGTGTCATTGTTATTGAATTAATGTCAATGAATCTTATAAATAAAATCAAATAATACATAAATAAGAGAATGAAATGGAAATAATAAACAGAAATTATGAAATAAACATTAAACAATAATGTTGTGAAATGAACTTATTCTTTTTCTTTAAATTCTTTAAATTCCAATTTCTCTTCTTTCTAAAAAATGAATTGAATATTTTACTATTTTCTATAATATCCTTTCTATTATTTTATTATCCACAAAATATTCACAATTTTGATTATTAGATTGATTTGATGTTTCATTTTTTGAATATTTCATTTATTCTCATTCTATCATTGTGGTGTTTATAACATTTAATTCATCTATTCTTGTGATGGTTGACTCTTCAAAATGAAAAGACAGTGCATTAAAAGAAACATTGACTTGAATTAGAAGAGAATGGGTAGAATGAGAAATGAGATGTTTAAGTTGTTTACAAAGGTTAAAAGAGTCAAAACAGTTGACCAAGAATATCAGATGATTAGAGAAAAATCCATTGAATCAGAAAAGAAGTTATTCTCAACATTACAAACAATTATCAAACTCAAAAACACACTTCATGAAGCTGCTTTACTTCAAGTTGAAATTTCATACTCATTATGTGAAATGACACTAAACAACCTCAAAGCAACACAACTGACTAACTCCATTTTGAATGCATCACAGGATATTATGAATCAACAGAACTATTTCAATTCATTCATCAAAGATAATGTAGAAATCCCTCTCCATTCATTTCTTAATCAATTCAGAATATTAAGTAGAAGAGACTGTGAGTTGGAAGAAAGAAGAAAAAAATGGATAAAATAAAACAACAAGTGATGAAGAAAAAGAAAAAGAAATTAGCATGTTCTTCTTTAATTTCCATCACCAAGAAATATCAACAAAGTAAAGAAGAGTATATAGAAATGAGAAATGAATTAAAGAATGATAGAAATATTCTCCTTAAAACAATTTCAGAGATAGCAGAAAGTATTGGTCAAGTATTTATTAGAGAAGGATGGGGTTGTCTCACAATGCACAGTAAAATTAAAGAGAGAGTAAGTCAATATCATTGGAAAGATGAAGAAAAGAACATTTTAGAACTGACTAATGTCATCACTAATTCAATCAAAACACACTTCTGTTCAAAACACCACCAGAAAACCAACGAATGTATTTCATGGAAGAGTTGTTTATAGTTACAACCCACAAAATGAATCTGAATTGAAATTAGAAAAAGGAGAATGGATCACAGTTATTTCTACTGATGGAGAATGGTGGGAAGGAGAAAGTAAAGGGAAAATAGGAATATTTCCATCTCATTATGTTGAACGAGATGTTAAAATCAACTAAGAAATTGTTTGTGCAATAGTTTATTCAAAATCAAATGACTAATTATTTATACAATGAAATGTTGTGTTTTTAACATGACTATGACAGAACAAATATGAAATAAATGAGTATAGATATGATGTTCATATGAAAATACACAATACACAATGTTAGAATGATTATTTCATAACTAAAATAATAACACAAAAACACTATATAAATCAATTAATGATGATAATAACATCAGAAAGATAAGAATAATATGTTATGTTTATAACAAAGGTAAAACAAATTAATAAAAGAGAAGAATATGAATAAGTTATGAGAATTTAAATGAAATAATTTGAAGATAAGAATAAAAAGCAAATAAACAAGGAAAAAACAAATGACAATGAACGTAAAACAAACAAAAACCAAATGAATTAAATAACATAATGAAATAGTACAAATAGTTTTGAAGAATAGAAATGGTGATATTTTCAGATTTTTAAGAAAAGAATTATAATACTTCACCGTCAAATAATGAATAAAATAAAATTATTTATATTTCAATATTGTAATATTATAATATTGTAATACTGTAACATTCAATGTCATAGTTACATTGATGGTTTATTTATTTTATTTGTTGATTGAAAACTCATTGATTTTTCTAATTATAAAACATTCAAAAATTAAACAAGATGAATAATTATATAAAACTCTATTTGTTTATCTCTTTGCATAAAACATAAAACTATCTTATTCTTTCAATGGAATACTGATTCAATGGACTAAAACACATTTTATCTCCTTTCCTATTTATATTCATTCTTATTTTTTCACATCATCACTAATAATAGTATGTGATGTAAAGAAACGTATTCTTTTCAATGGAATTGACTTTGGGGGTTCTACGTATGGAAAATACTTAGAAACGTCACAATATGAATTATGTTCTTTCATATAAATAACGTTGATATCTTTAGAGAATGAACAATTTAACTGATTATCAACAACAAATGCAAAAGGAGAACTAAAGATAATGGATGAACCTAATGGAATGTAAAACGATGTAGTGAATATCCGATAATCAAATGTGTTTATTTCATCACTTTCTAATGAACAAGAGAAGATGTAATGATGTTGGTCAGTTATTCCAATTCCAATATACGATGGTGCTTTTGATACATAACAACCAAAACAATTATCATTATAATCTTCTGCAACAAAATAAACATCTCGTTCTCTTTGGATGTAATTGAATATTGTTGTAGAAGTTAATAAACTATTATTTGAGTCATATAAAGTTAATACATCTTTGTTAGAAAGAATGTTAACTATTCTCTCTGCTCTATCTTTTTCATCAGTATAATGTAGAAATTGTGGTTGGTTAAATGAAATAACTTTCATTGAGTTTTTACTGTTCAATACTTTGGTGACGTTTAAATATTATTTTGTAAAAATGATGTTTAAAGAAAATATGAAAGAAATTAATCAAAACTATATGAATAAAATACTGAATAATAAGAATGTAGTTATTATTAAATGTCATTTTGATGAATGATATTTATAATTGAATAACTTTGTTTGTATTTTTATATGTGTATTTTTGTAAATCAAAACTAATGATAATGTTGAATGGTGGTGCATCAAATAACCATGTCATCATATCAATTCAATGTTTGTAATATCATTTGTCCATTCTAAAATATGGATAAAGTATATTTAAGTGTGATATAATCGAAGAGAATAATGACAATGAATGGTATAAATGTTATAACGATGAAAGAAAATTGTAGTTAATAATTAAATCAACATCATTCATTTGAATTAAATAATCATAAACAAGAAAGACAATGTTTCAATAAAACTAAATTAATAATAAATCAAATAGAAAATGAAGATATAATAAGTAGATAATGAGAAGATAAAACAAATAGAAAATGAAGAGAATAATTATAAAAGTGAAAAGAATGAAAATAAGAAAAATAAAATTTGATTAGAAATAAAACTATCAAATCAATTAATTTCAATATCATTCATTAATAACACTTAAACTATTTCATTTTAAATTCTTCTTTTCTTA